CCCCCCCCCTGCCGAAGATGCATTATTGCTAATAATGTCTGTGTGCACTGATGCACGCTGCATTATTTTTAATAATGTTGTGTGCTATTTTAACGCGTACATAGAATATGACGCGTATAAACATTTACCCCTGAGCCGGAATTTCCCAATACAACCAAAAAGGCCGCTCCCGTTTTTCAGTAGAACGTTAAATGAAAACTTCTCGACATTCGCTGATATAATGCAGAGGGAAGACAATAGGTTTGATAGGGCCAGCAATTATTGTCAATAAAATATTAAAACGGAGCTTTGATTAACTGATTCACCATTTATACTAGTGAGCTATTAAACTATCGTGATTTACACAATTTTTGGATATTTACCAGACGATCCCCTATCCACCGACCCGAGGTTAACGCCGAGTCGGCGTCTTGTTAAAAATAATGCAGCGTGCATAAGTGCACACAGACATTATTAGCAATAATGCATCTTCATCACCCTGACAAAGTACACGCGATAACGTAAACATCTCAATATGAGAAGGTGACAGTGCTAAAGGCCCCTCATACAATATCGATTTTATTAAAAGCCCAATAGGGCAACACAATATATATACAATTAGGATATTTACAAGAAACACACAAGTTTTTGTCCAACAACTTTGTCTAAAACACATTTACATACCAGGTGGCACGAAACATGTCCCTATTTAAATAAAAAAATTCCATTTTCAACCTGTTCGACACATAATACTTAAAATATGGAAGACAAGAAATCTTTTGATCACAATTAAATTGATACGAGTTCCGTTCTTTCCACGCGGCAAACTTCGCAACTGAGATAAGATACCTAGTTAAGTCACTGTTAATCATTGAACTAGTTTCTCCTAATAAAGAGCTCTTTCTGAAAACACTGGTATCGACTGATCAATTCTGTTGCAAATACGTAAAACAAAATGCCATAATTCCTCGACAAATGGACAATGGATAAGTGCATGGGCCAAGCTTTCCCATCTATTGTTACACCGAGAACAAGTTGCAGGGGTACGCGAATTCCGTTTGTTGAGGATTGTGTTTACATTGAGCACGAGATGCACTGTAATACTGGAAAAGTCACGTAATACTGGATCTTCCAACCCCGAATGAATACGTTTCCAAACATCCTTCCAAATCAATCCACGGAAGTTTGTATCCCACTTTATTCGACATGCTGGTCTAACGGGGATGATTTTATTAGTAATTGCCATGGCATAGAAATAGCTCGACGACTTGGGAGTGGCTTACTATTATCGTGGACACCAATAGATCGCCCGATATAATATCGCATCAAATCCTTCCAATGGGCCGCCCCCTTCTCTAAGAACTTAAATACACGCGGAATTAACAAACACTTGCTCCGCGTCTCGATATCTACTGCTTTCAAGCCACTAGAAGTTAGATCAGAGACACAAATTTCCCGACGTACGAGTTCAGGTTTATTGGACCAAATAAATTTCCACATCGCTTTCCGCAAAACGTCCAGAATCTCTCGAGTAGGTGGGTAAATCCTTACTAGGTGCCAAACAGAGGCTGCCGCCAAGGAGTTGATGACAGTACGTTTACCTCGCAGCGTCAGGAAACGCGACTTCCATTCAAGCCCGTAGCTGGCTCTCAATTTCTGGGGGGCACTGCAGAAAGAATGTACCAGAGGGTTTGAGATGAGAAAAAAAAATTTTCCGGAATTTACTTTGGCGACCTCTCCCCCACCCCCCGTCGCCAAAAATATTTCGGTCAGTGTACCATTTTAGGGCTCAAAAATTTTTTCCGGACATACCAATTTTTTCCGGACAGACAAAATTTTCCCAAACCTAACAAAATTTTTCGAAACATCACAAAATTATATTTGTGGTGTTACCCTGAGTGTATATCCACACCGGGCGAGCTTGAAAAATATGCCCGGCCACGGTGGGATTCGAACCTACGACCTTTGGAATACTAGCCCAATGCTCTTCCAACTGAGCTACGCGGTCAGGACGGTTCGAGTAAGTGATATTTCGGAACAGAATCTAGTTCCTTCGATACCAATTTATTTCCAGTAATATGAATTTTTTCCCTCAGCTACAGGCTTGCTTCCATTCCGTCAAAACTATGGAAAAATTCGCCATTCCGGCTTCCCATGTTTTTGCAAAAGCACTCTCATCCCCAAAATGAAACCCAAAGATTTTGATACCGTCCGAGCCAAAGACCCTTAGACTTGGTTCGATTCAATTTAGCGCCACTCGCACGTCCATACTGTTCAAAAACGTCAAGCACTTTCAAAAGGCCATAATCGTTAGTGACGAAACAAGTGCTATCGTCAGCATATTGCCCGATCTTCGATTCACGTCCGCCGGGAAAGGTAAGACCTTCTATTTCTTTGCAAGATCTGACCAGTTGGGCAAACTGACCAGTTCACCATCACTTAGGTTTAGGTTTCTTCCGTACCTTTGTCCACGTACTGCCATCCGGTCCCCGCTTCAACGGTTCCGCATCTAAATCCATACTTCCGTCATCCTTTAAAGAGTCAACTGCACGGGAACTGGACAGGTTGAGTTCTTGGGACTCACGATTTAATAATGCATTGAGCTGTTGGGACTGAGTGGAATCCTGGGACACGGGGGAGACCTGGGACACGGGGGAGGCCTGGGACACAGGGGAGACCTGGGACTCTGAAGGGATCTGCGACGTGGATGGATCCTGAGACTCATGGTGTCCATGTGACATAACTGGGGTGGAACTGTTGGACTGCCCTTTTTGGGCTACTAAATTCACGTTACGGCGATCTGTTTCCATTAATTCGACGGTTACTGGTGCCACCGTGCCAGCGACACGGGCGGTGGAATTACCATCAGCAGAAGCGGGTGGTACTCGTGGGTGCTGCAACTCAGGGCAGTTCTCTCGGACGTGACCAAACTTGCCACAGCGAAAACATTTGAAACACTTATCACGAGTATGTCGAGACAAACCACACTTAAAACAAACTACATCATTCGGACACTCAGTCGCAAGATGGCCCAATAAACGGCAACAAAAACATTGAGGGAGTTGACCTTTATGTCTTATTTCCACCGGGAAGTGTCCAATTCTTGACTTTCGTGGGATATCGGTTTTAATGTCAGTCATCTTGGCGACTCTGGTTCCCGTTTCAATCGTGGGGAAGCCATGCTCCGTCGTCATTTTGCGTGTTATCGTCTCCACTTTCCCATGATTACCAAGAAACTCCGCAACGACTTTATTGGTAGTACCTTTAGTACATATTTTTAATCAATCCTTCCACACTATGAAATTTCCGGAAGTTTGGAAAATTTCTAACGTATGTGCTATCCCCAAAACTACCCCATGTAATAGAGTGGAGGAGTTAAGACCAATTTCCCTTACTAGCGTACTCTCCAAAGTGCAAGAATCGTATGCTGTTGAATGGATCCTTGAGGACGTTAAAGAAGACATTAGTGATTCTCAATTTGGTGGATTCTTCAGCTGTTTTGACGTTAGTTTATTTGGTACATAATTGGTATAAGAGCATGGAAAACACGGAAAAGGTTGTAAGAATCTCCTTTTTGGACTTTCGTAAAGCCTATGATTTGATCAACCATAACATTTTGTTAGGAAATTTTATGAACATTGGTGTGCGCCCTTCGTTAAAAAGATGGTTTGCGACGTATTTACAAGGTAGACTACAAATGTGTACGTTTAGAAACCACAAATCAGAGTGTAAAAGTATAAAAGGAGGGATCCCACAAGGAACCTGGCCTTCATTATAAAGATTAACCAGCTGGCCAATGAAACACCAAATGATGATCAGAATGGAGGTTCTGACCAAGACGACATTGTTATATTTATGGATGACACTACTTTATCCGAGGTGGTTGATGTCACTAATCATGTATCTGGAAATTGCATCGGAAATAGTCAAAATAATATTGATAACATAATTCGGTTCACGGAAAATGAGCAAATGGAATTGAACGCTAGGAAATGCAATGAAATGGTAGTAGATTTTAGAAAGATTAAGACTGTAATCCCTCCTGTCTGCATTGGGCAACAACCTATGTCTAGAGTGAAAACGTACAAGTTATTGGAACTCTGCATAGACGATGATCTAAATTGGGAATCTAATACAGAGTACATTATTAAGAAAGCAACCAAACGTCTATATTTTTTGAAGGTTCTTAAGGGTTATGGCGCACCAAAAAATGACCTCAAGACCTTTTATTGCTGTGTTATCAGATCAACCTTGGAGTATGGTGCCCAGGTATGGAACGGCAACTTGACGCAAGCACAGCGTATAATGATATTGAAAGAGTACAGAAACGAGCTTTGAGGATAATTGCTCCTGAATACGAGTATAATCGTGCGCTCCAAGAATGTGACCTAAAAACGTTACAGGAACGTAGAGATGATTTATGTGTTCGTCTCATCAAGCAGACGTCAGAGCCATCACATAAATTACATTCATTGCTTCCTAGCAAATGCTCTGAGGTGAAAGGAAGAGAAACTAGAACAAATCCGAACAAATTTTATAACTTCTTCTGCAGAACTGAACGATTTAAACGCAGTCCGTTAGTATATGCAATAGATAAATATAACGATAGGCTAGAACTATAGTTTTTAAATTGAGAATGTTAATATGATGCCAAGAAATTGTTTTGTGAGGTGGGCAGATTGTGTTTGGAATATAAGAGTAGTGTAATTGGCGATCATCTTAACCTAAATACTAATGTTTAGAAATATTTTAGTCGTATTTTAGATATAATTTTGTATATGCATGTAATATTCTAGAATCAGTTGTAATTTTTAACAAGTAGTTGGACTAAATTGTAAACACATTATAATTTAGCGTATCCGCTATTGAAATGTGGGAAATAAAGCCATTATTATTATTATTATTATAGGTTTATCAGAAAATATGTTAAAATCAGGTTATATTTCTTTACAATTCTCCATAAAAATTCGGGCAAACTTTCAACTGCCCCCCCCCCCCCCCCCCC